GACAACAGAACATTTCTAGGTTTCCATCTCTATAGACTATAATTAATTTATATCGTAGAAGTCTGCAACAGTAATGCAAAATTTGACGGTAATTTTCACTAATGTAATTATTAGTCAAACCCCAATTCCTCATGAATGCTGAAAATATCTGAAGGCCACTGATTGAAGGTCATCAAAGTCATTTTGAAATGGCCTTTGCCATTGTATTTCAAGTGAATCCATGCTACTATTTGAGATGTTTTCTTCAGGAAAAACTGGATTTTCACACTTCACAGTAGCGTTCACTGTGCCCCTTTGAGGATACAAAATATCTGTCACGCTGTTGTTTGCGTTTGTGTACATTTGGGCCATTGTATCTTGATTTTGGCAGGATTCAAACCAGCTTTGAACGTCTTGTCGGAAGGAGCAGCTTTCGTCGTAGAATTTATCACTGGGGTTTCCATTGTCGGATCCAGACAAGGAGGACTGAGATGCTTGTTTCTTGAGAGAAGCTAATTGGGCTTGGAGATTGACTACCTGTAAAGAAAAAAAAATACCAACGAATTTGAGAATATGCAACAATATTCAGTCATTTTGTAATTCGCAGTATTAGACAATATATTAAACAAGATTTGAGTAGCACCCAGTAATCTTCTCTATCAAACATGTTATTATGGTTATATTTACAAAATGCCAATGAATTGAAGAATCCACGGCTCACTTATGATATGAAGTACTGGGTAAGACGATGGTGTAATCAACAAGATTTTAATTTTTTTCCAAAACTTAGTATTCTCTACCACTATCTAATAATTCTCCCTAAGAAACAGACTATTATGATTGAACATGAATGAAGAGAAAATATATATACCTCTTTTTGGAGGGCAAAGATATGAGAAACACAGCCATAAATAGGATCTTGAAGCCTAGCCTGAGCTTCATATGCAATTGTGACGGCCGCTTCACAACGACTGCTCACCGGAAGGTGAGCAAGGAGTTTCGACACATTGCTTGCACCAAAAACCTTATGGATGGCTGCGAAATGTGTAGCACCTTGTTCATGGCTGAAATAAGGTGCAAAAACACAACCCTCAACACATTTTCTTCTCAAGAATTTGCAGGCGCCACAAGGGGAACCAGATCCTGACATTCTTGATCTTGATTTTATCAATTACTTTTGATTGATCTTATTGATGTTTCAATAATAATAAGTTCCTAGCTTATTTTCAAGCATTATCTCCATGTTTATAAACACCAGAGGGGAAGACGGATATATCATGCTATATCATTTTTTAATTGAATATGGTTCCCTTATTGGGCTACAGATTTCATTTTTTTCCCCTCTTGAAAGTTCTCTTTAACTCCTCAA